ACAAAGAGAAAAACATAAATCTTGTGGCTTACCACTTTCAGAATCTAGTTCTCTGTGATTTTCCAATCATGCAGAACAGACAGACATTTCGTTTTAATACCCAGTTTCAGGTCTCACAAGACCTCACCCAGTTCATCTTGAAACCACTCGCCTTATCAGGCAAAAGATTGTTTGTTTCTCCAACACATGAGAGGAAATATAGACTTCAAATTAGTAAAAGATGTGTATCTGTTCTGATGATGGTACATGAAAATAAAACCACCTACTAAGGAAAAACCCTGTTGAATTTCGTTTTTTTTTCTGAATTATCAAAACTATTGTCATTATGCACATGTCGGAAATACCATGTGTGAGTTACATCAGCAGATGTGTCTCTGAAAGAAGCCCAAAAAAATGGAATCTCAAATTGTGTTTTGTGAGAATGCTTTGATGCTTTCACATGGGTACATTAGCAGTATGTATGTATGTATATGTTCATGTATGTGGAGCAGTGTGGGTCCTTTTATCTAGTTGGAATTAGACCCTTAGCTCCTGTTCTTATCACTCTGTCATGTTTGCTTAGACCTTGTAGTCTTCCACCTCTCAAATGTGGGTTAAAAAAAAGAAAAGAGGATTAACCCATTAGCTCTCATCGTTTCTACTTTATCCCTCATTCTGCCAACTGTCAAAGTTTCTGTCCCAGTCGCTCTTCTCTGACCCTCATCACCTATACCAGCAGGCCGGCCTCCCTTTAGCCAATTAAGGTGTTAAATGAGCCCTAAGTGTCTCTAAATTAGCTGTGCAGATTACGGGATTGTCTGTAATGTTGTGCAAAATTAGCTAGTGACAATTACAGCTTCACCCTGAGGGGAAACAGTGTACTTACTGAATTCTGTGTACTCACATATTTGTTTGTAAAATGCAAATTTAAGCCTAGAGCGAAAATATGAACGTAAGGATGGGAAAGAAAAGACAATACACAAACCAATGAACAGGCAGTGTTGAGGTGGAGCAGTTAAAGACAGGCATATTCGGGACACATTAAGTCAAACTCTGCTTTTAAGTGGCAACATTTTTGTTTTGCATGAAAAATGGTCTCTGAAAAGACTGTTGACAGAAAATCAGCATATGTCAGCCATCATGCAAAGATTCACATTTGTCCTTTGGTTATTGGCAAACGCAAGATGCAGGAGTCATATTGATCTGGAGACAGCCTACATTCAGAAAAACCTTCATAAAGCTGAACGTGGAGGAAATCATTCATTAGTTTGCTAAATCTTTCCTGACTTTTCCTGCAGCTATACATACATTTTGAATTTCACCCAGTAACGGAGCAAAACCAGGAATGGAAGTTAGTGCCTGTTATTTAGTTTCACTAGCATTTCTTTGACTGGAAGAAAATGGGGGGATGGCACACATGCCGTGAAGCCTGTTTACTCCTTGGTCATAAACCAACTTCCTGTCAGTATTCGTCAGCCATGCACCACTTTGAGAATAAAGCAGGGCTTCCAAAAAACAGCTGGTCACTGTCCCGAGGGGTCAATGTAAAGAAATGTCAAGAAAATGAGGTGGTTTTTCCCACCACTGCTGCAATGTAGTGGCGACCCAGCAGGGGCTTTTTAGGGGATTTGGCCCTTTCCCACTGAGAGTGCTCGGTTTCACAGAGAGTTATATTTTAGATATTAAAAGCCTTATCACTTCAGCCAAGGTCTAGTTAAATGTAATATGAAAGAATGAGATACCAAGGGCACCCACCAGCCATTCTACAGAGTAGAATTTCAATCAGAAAGTGTTAACATAGAGCTCAACCAGCTTCCTAAAGAACAGTTTGTACCCTAAAACATTGTGTCAGTCAATATTTTGCTTAAAAGATAAGATTTTTTACCTACAACTGGTTCTCCCTGAGTTATTCTCTGAGAAATCAATGAGAGTTTCAAGAACATCCCGTCTCACATTAAAGAAAGTGACAAAAAAAAATGTCTGGTTCCCCTCCTGTTTCAGATCTGCACCACCCTTCCCTGACTTATTCTGTATCCTTCCACCTAGTGTCATGGCAATCCCATCAGTAGTTAATACTTAATCCTAGTTAATTACAGACAAACAAACAAACGCAGAAACATAACCTCCTTGGTGGAGGTTACAACACATGTCAGCAGTGAGGTGTCGTTTAGACTGAGTGAAGAGCGAGAATCATTAATGTTTTGTTGGCTGCGTTCATCTGTTGCTTGAATTTATTGAGCACAAGTGTTAAAGGGTGAGATCAGCTGCTGCAGTGTTTGGTTGGAAGTAAAAACCAGCAGATGTTTAGGCTACACGAGACTCAGGCACCCACAGCTGACTATCCTCCCTGTAAACATTTGACCCTTCATTTTATGTTACATGCCATGTATTCAAGTATTTTTGTCGTCGCATGATTAACACCACAGACATATGTAAAATGCTTTTGCCAAACGTGTCTCATTATTTGGGGAAGCAGCGAATATGTACAGTGATGCAATGTAATTTGCACCATCTCACATGTAGGAAATCATGATGGTTTGTAAAACAGCAGGGGCATGAAACGGAGTGACCACTTCTCCTTTCCTATGCACAGGAAGAGTCTTTGTTCTGATGGATACTTCTGTCTTTGAAATTACATGTATGACACGCTGAGGGAGGCACTGTCTGAGGCCGTATTGTTTCTATTTTGCTCAGTTTGTACTCATGGCTTTTTAACATATTGAGTAAGGGATAGTCTAAATAATAGTGTGCAAACAGTGCATGTACAGGCTGTTCTGACATGATTGTGCTGTGTCACTTAATGCAACTGGATTGTCCAGAAGTGCCTCCAATAAATCTTTGTGTCTTTCCACGTAGGGCACGATAGGACAAGTTGTCTCAGTCAGACCAGATCCAGTTAGGTAATATGTTTTAAGCCTTCTTAACCTGGTGCTATTCTCCGTCTGACAACTGTTGCTATTCACTTGTGCCTCTGTGGCATACAAAGAATGTAATGAATCAATATTGAGTATCTGTTGGCTGCCCTGCTCTATCTGCTCCGTCAGTTGTCACTTCCTTCACCCGCTGAGGAAACACAAGTTTCACAGCTCTTGTTTCCTTGCGCAACATTTGCTAACACACAGACATAGTGTAGGGTGACAGATGTTTTTTTTTCCCTGTCCATGCTGTCGTACAAACTTCTGCAGAAAGACTTGGATTTGTTTACAGCAACATTTTGCTTGTACGTCAGTGGTTATTGACCTATATTGGATTTTTTTATGTTCTCTGAAGTTTTACTGGTTGTGGCAGAACTTGGTGCTTTTAAATACATTTTATAGCTGAGGAATTGGACCAGTTAAGCTATAGTGAGGAGCTGCAGGCTGACTGCTACATGTTAGGTATGTGGCTGAGGAATATGAAGACTGAAGGCATTTGTCTTGTTTCTTGTCTTCACACTTTCCAACTGTTTCTAAAATGTCAGCCATTTTAGATGAGTTAGATGATGATTCTTAGACAGTTTCTTGCACAATCTTCCTGACACTTATAATAATGTGTTGCTGATGAGCCAAAAGATAGTAGTATCAAAGTAGTAACAAAATACTTGTTATTTGTGAAACCTTTACTCAAGTATAACAAGATGCTTCAAATTGATCTTCTGATATTCCCCCTCTCAAATTACATGTAGCCTAAAAATCCATCTTTATTTTCCTAATATTACAAAATCTTTTAATTTTATTTTCTCTTTAAGTGGCCCCCATAGTCCATCTTAAAAAAGAATGGAATTTTTCCATTAAAAGTTTCCAAAGTTGACTAATTCAAGTGAGTAATGTATCATTCAACAGTTGCAAAACCCAAGTTAAACCAACAAATAATCAATTTTTTTTTAAAAGTAACTCATGCATTGGACTTTTTAACAAGAGTGTTATTTGGGCTTTCATCCAGAATGAACCAAGTGTAAAAGTCTTATGTAAAACCTATAGTTTCTGTAAGGATCAGGGCAGGTGGTGATTACAGAGGTCTGTCAATTCATGTATTAGTCAGAGTAGCTGAATGAGTGGTGGTGCACAGTCACTGCTGCCTCATGTCATGACTGCTGCTTCGACATATCCAGCACCTGCACTCTAATTTACTTTTCCCCACATGCTTTTGACTTGGCGTGCAGCTCTTATCTCCAACGTCGCCACAACGTCCCCAGACTCATTAATAGAGAACAGACATTGAAGCTGATTTCTGATAAACCAAGACTACTCTGCATACCTGAGCACTTTCATGGAACAGATATTTAGGAGAACCATTATCGCCTACAGACATTTTAAATAAGGGGGTAAAAACACACCAGTCATACCTCAATGGAGTCATGCATCCGAATATAAATTGTGTGTGTTTTAACAGTGTTGACTCATAATACTTATGTTTGCTGTTGCGCTTAAGTTCTCTCTGGCTTGGAGCCAACCAGGTGAAGAAAGTGACGGTTCTCCCTTTGATTTCACTTCCTGTTATTATTGTGGTTAAAACATTTTGTCCCGTGTGAGCAGTGTGTCCGTCCGGTCTGTGTGTTGTGTGTGATTAATCCCGCCCGCTTTATATTGTGAACATGAACTCAGTGACACTTTTTTTGCTTCATGTTAATTTTCAGCTGAAATGTGCATCTTGATACGTGAAATTGAACATTTCCTTTTCCTCTTTCACATTGTCTCAACACGTGATTTGAGAGCAGTTAGGGTTTTGAGAAGTCAAAATTATTGGTCAAGTTCCTCAAACAACAAAAATGAAATGTGCACAAAATAATTATGGTTTAAACAATGCGCACCTTACAGCTAGAAATCAGATCCAGCTGAAAATGTCCGCTTCAGTGAAAGGCCAACAAACCGAAAGTTTTTTAAGTTTGAAAAATAGAAACCCGTTTTTCTGATCTGAGGGGAGTTGTTTCACAGTTTGGTCGCAGCCACAACAAAACAGTTTTTCTTTTTAACAGAAGTTACAGATGTTAACAGACAGTAGGGAAGTAGCAGTCTGACTCTGTTTTTCTTTCTGTCCCTCAGGTCTTTGTAGTCTGTCAGCAAACTCTCATACTCCCACCTACTCTTCCACTGCGTGTGCCTCAGTGAACGCTGTGCGACTCGGCCGCCAGCTTTGGTTTCCTCCTCGGCTGCAGGAAAAACTATTGAGAAGCAAGAGGCCTCTGTCTCTAGAAGTGAAGCCTCCCTCTGACTGCATGTCTCAGAGCTCTGACCAGCCCCTGTTCTCCTCATCCTCCTCCTCCTCCTTCCACATCTCTACGAGGACCCACATTTCCACATAGCCATAACCCATAAACCCCCATCCAGCTGCTAGCTGCTTCATCGCAGGCGCAGTTGTTGATTTCACTGCCTGCGCAGAAGGATCGACCACTGTCCCACAACTGGCCCCCAACTGGTGCTCCTTCAGTGGGGGAGGGAGGGGAAGTAGAGCAGCTGAACGCAGTGCCGCTTTCCCTGGAGATGAAGCTGCAGGCCGTCATGGAGAACCTGCACAGGCAGCAGAGGGCCAAGCTGCTGATGGAGCAGCAGCTACAGCAGCAAGCTGCTGCCCAACACTCTCAGGTGCGCACAGGTGGAGGAGGGGGGGACGAGCCAATGGGGAGCCCAGCCCCTGAGTCGGAGCAGGCCCAGATGGCGGCGTTAGCGGCCATGCGTGCTGTGGCGGCCGGGCTGCAGAGAGTGTCTGACAGCCCCATGTCGGAGCACAGCAGCGGTGGCGAGGATGACGTTGATGATGACGACAATGAAGAAGGGGAGGAACAATACAAAGATATGATGGGCTCAGATGAGGAGGAGCAGATGTAAGCACCGAATGTCTTTGTTCTGATTGTCTTAAAGCTTCTTTTATATCTTTAATGTCTTTCAAACAGTTTCATTCTGTTTTTAAAACACACAGCAAACAGAAATGGGACGAGGAGGACTTTGAAGGCGAGATGGAAGAAGACTTTGACGATGAACTGGCAGAGGAAGGTCTGCCAACAGGCCATGATGCTGTGGCCCCTGGGAAAGGCATCCTCCTGTTGCCCCACCGCCAGCTCCACCCCCACTCCCAGCTGCTGAAGGCACGCCCTAGTGTCGACCAGGAGCCCCGTGTAGCTATCCTGCCTCCTCACGCCACGCACAGCCATCTGGGCGGACAGGACCACGGAGAATGGACCTACGAGGAACAGTTTAGACAGGTAGGATCTGTTGTATCTTGGTGTCTTAGGAGCTGTATTCCTCTGTTGAAAGAGAACTAAATATAAATTAACCTCGCAACTGCAGAGAAAGTCATATCAAATATAATTTCCCTCATATCAGCTAAATCCTTACATATTCTAAAGTCAGCTCGTCTCATTCTGAGGAAGAACATAAATCAGAAATGTTGTTTGCTGATGATGGAGCCACATCAGGCCTTCACACCCTTCTCACGTCAAACTGCATGACACTTTCTTAGAAGCACAACCCGTAATCCAACCAGGGTGGGAATTTAACACCAGCTACTGGCCAAATGTTGACAAGGCTTTGAAACTTTGACTTAGCCAGCAGACACTTTGGATGGGTCCATGTCGTTTAAGATCTGGTCAGTTTTTCTGGTGGAGCAGCTTCAAACTGAGGCCTCCAAGTAAGAAAATAGTTGTTTCCTGTCACTAATAGGCCTGTGAGCTTAGGAAGAGAGGCTGAGGGCAGCTAGGAAAAAGAGGAGGAGGGGATAGGAAGCTTTTTAATAGCTTTACCATGCTGGCATTTACTGTAAACATGCTGGTGGATATGATGAGGGAGGCCTCTGTGGAATAAGACGGGCTGTTTACATGAAGAGATTTAAATCTGTCAGCAGCCAAATTTAGATGGAGGGCTGCTGTCGATAAAAAGACTCGGAGACTGAGGAATGATGTATAATTCAACACTGATTTTAAATAACTAAATCACTTGATATTTTCTCCACATTTTGCTGTTTAAATTAGCCCCCCCATCAGTCCAGTGTGAAATGAAAATTAAAAGTTTATTTAGGTCAAATTGTATCATCAGATCCTATTTTTTTTTTTATAAAAGAAAAGAAAAAGATCAAATACTCCGAGGCCCTGTTCGGAGCTGGTATAACCATCTGTCTCAGGTGAGCCGCTCAAAGGTGGACAGCTCTGGTATTAGAGTACGTCTCCATATGTGTCTCGAATGACCACTTGTGATCAGATCCCACTTCCCTGCTTTCTATGCAAATAAACATGTACGTCGTTTCTGTTCGCAAAGACTAAGTGATGATGTTCTTAAGCCAGTGTGGTTATACAGATGGGTACGTTGTCAATGTGTTTTTGTTTTGCGTGGATCTGTGTGTCAGTGTGAAATGAAGAGAGAGAGGAACCAGTATCAGGAGGGGATGATCTTATAAGCATGCTTGTCCATGCAGCTAGAAGAACGTGGCTACACGTGTCCCCGACCACCTCCCCAGTAGTGTTTTAAAACATGGTTGAAAGACATGTAACCATATGGTATAGATCACAGTGTCCCTGCTTTAAATAAACCAATAAAGAAAAGACAAGATATAAATATATAAAGAGTTCTGAGTGATCTGATTTCGATCTCGATATGTTCACATCCATTCTTGGAGCTGTCCACTTGTGACTGGATGGCTCAGGATAGATGTTAAGACAAGGTTTTAACAAGGCCTGACTTTTTCTTTTCTTTGTCATCATTAAATCATTCTCTTTATTTTCACATTTGTTTGATTTTACCGGTAGAAATATGAGTGTGTATTTTACAGTCATACAGCAGGAACATCGAGCTGTTTTTATCTGTGAAGATCTCAAATTGACCTGTTCCGAGCCACCATTTCATACAAATGCTGTCTATATGAAAGCCACTGAGACACATGCAAATGCAAACAGGCATGTGGCATGTAGTAACGTTTCAAGCCATAAAACATGTTTGACAATATGAGCAGCATCTTATCTTCTATCTGTGCAGATAGACTCTTTGACTCTTCTCTATTCAACTCTTTGAGAAGAGAGATAGTTTAGGAGTTGTTAGGAGGGTGGTGGTGTTGGGGGGGGTATTTCAGACATGTTTAACACACTGCTCCCAGTCTGCATGTGCTTCATTATAGAACCTAGCCATGGATTTTGTAATTTAAGGCCTATTTCTTGTAATTATAGAGAGTTAGGAATACAACTCCCTTTAAACCTCTCTGCTGCATCTCAAATAGCCCGACGCTCCCTCTGTAAAGTTTTGTGTGAATGAATTGAATTGATACTCTCAGCAGTATGTGGTATGTGAGGAAGGAAATACAGGACATTTCTGTCTTGACAAGCTAGTCAACGGTAGATCATGCAAGCATGAATGGGCTGTAGCTGACGGTTATATAAGACAGCCAGCATCATGTCTGTGTTACCCAATCTGTTGTCAAACCTAATGTCCAACTCCAGGCTCCCACTGTGGAGACTAGAGAGAGGACGGCAAGACCAAACTGTCCTTAAAAACCTTCTCAATTTTAACATGTCAAATAGACACAGCAACAATGCTCACATCTGTTTGTTCGGCCTCCTCCATCGCTGAGGATAGTTTATATATACGAATCCAGGGTTTTAGCCCTGCACATCATTCACACAGGACTAATTTTGCCCTCGGATGATTACAGTGATTAGTAATAATTGCCACCCTGGCCTCTAATTATAATCCTCAGTAAATCTGCTGTGTCTGCAGTGAGTAATGTAAATATGACTGACCTGTTATGATGAGCACAGTCTGTCCCTTGATAATTCCAACCCTATGAAAATCAAACTCAGTGATTTCAGCCTTAATTTATATTTTGTGTGAGCTGTTTTTACTGCGCTTCTTCTTTTCATACCAGAACCTGCCATTTGTGGTTTCTTCTTGTTATTGGAGAAAGAGGCAGTAGTTAAATCAGCAGACCACAATTTTAAATGTAGTTTCACTGCAAACGTTTTTCTTCGCTTGATTAGCAGGTTACACACATACATATATTATATCTTTAATAGTGGTGATTTGAGCACACTCACATTAGTGAAAGTACATAAATTAAGAGTGTTGCACACAAGAAAATGTGTCTGAAATATCACTGCTAAATTAGACTTGATTCACCTCTCAAGGACCATGTCAAATACATCACCAGACCACAAATGCATCGATATCTGGAGACTGGTTTTAATGTTGGAGCTGATTGGTTCACAGTTTACTCCAAAACCTGATGAAAGCCTGGAAAAGCCAGACTTCAGGGGCTGTGATTTAAATCTGCCAGGGATCATCATTCAGGCAAACAACCAGCTGATGTTACATATACAAGACAAAAGCTCCTATTACCTCCACCAAGGAGGTTATGATTTCACCCCTGTCCATTGGTTGGATTGTTTGATAGGTAACATTGCACAAAATAAATTGGACGGATTTCCACTAAACTTGGTGGAAGGATGCATTATGGGTCAGGAAAGAACAATTATTTTTTTTTTTTACATTTTCACCAATTTCAATTCATGGATCTTGTTGATCGGCTTAATTTAATTGGACTTTGGTCGCGTCCAGTCTGCTCCAATGACGTAGCTTCAATGCCTGAGGTTGGCAAGTGACCATAACCACGACAGCCTGCCATGGCATGAAACCACTTTCTGTGGCAGAGAAGCCTCACATATGGCACTTTTTTAAAGCTGCATTCTATACAAGCAAACCCGATGCAGATAAGGCCTTCAAGCAGCTAAATGGTGAAAGGTTTATCCAAAGTTTGAGTGAAAAAATTGGGATTGTGAAACACTGTAACTTACACACATGTTCTGGAGTCGACTTGTGTGCAGGTCGAGTGTTTTGGATGGCTTTGGGTGGGGAGGAAGGGGTTAAGGCTGTACAGTTTATTTTAGGCAGGTGGGTGGAGGCTGTTGGAATGTGCCTGAGGGAGGGTGATAATGTGGCCACTAGGAACCCCAGATCCTCAGCAGAAACCTTGTGTGCCTCTATCAGTCTGTAGCAGCTTGAGCTCTTCCAAACCGAAAACTGTCTTTTTCTTCTTTATGTTTGTCATATCATTTGTTTCGCTGTGTCTCAGTGTGGCAACACGGGCCCATAACAGCAATGGTTCAAGAATCAGCCTGAGGACAGACCTCTCCATAAAAAACCTTAATGGACAAAATATAAGGAGAATTAAAAAAAAAAAACTGAATTCCCCCTCCTCGTGTAATTGTGCATTCAATAGGCTCTATTCGTTTGAAAAATGGAAATTTTTAAAGTTAACAGAAAGTTTAAGCAGTTTGAAGAAATACAAATTTCACCGGCTTAAAACAGGCCTGGTACTATGCTCTGAATCCACCATAAGAACAGTATAATAAGTCCAAAGAATGCGTCCAGTAAAGTAATAGAAAGGAAAGTCCACAATTAAGTCAATTCTTGACCCTTTAAGGTGCCATGCAAGTGGGAAATATCCAAGCAAAGTCATACTTTTTGTTCAGGTTTGCCGCATGACGTGTCTGGCTAAGATATATCATGCCAAGGCCCAAACTACATTCCTGTTGGATCAGTCGGCTTCTGTCCCCTCTCCGTCTCTCTCAGCGGAAAGGTCAGACTAAATCAAGCCAGGAGGTGCTGTCTGTTCGGATGTCTGATTACACTCTGGTGTAAGTGAATTAATCAAAAATATTCGAGGCACTATGCCAGTGGTGTCATATCTGGCTATAGCAGAGAGCAGCAGAATTAAATACAAGTCAGGGATTGATACAGATATCAAATTATTGCAGCGTCATTTGATTATTTTGTTATTGAAACTGATTTGCGCTGCTGGTGCAGTGCCCATTTCAGCTGAGTTGTTTTAAGTGATACCAGTGGAAGTGTCCTTCATCCACCCCAAGCCCCCCACATAAACATCTACCCCTTTAAAGATCTATATCAATATCACTTTCCAGGAAACGTTTATGCTTAATTTAAAGTTAATCATATAGGTGGTGTCCTACAGCAAATAGACTTACAACAGTTCTAACCAAATGTGGGTGTGTGTATTTATGTATATAATATACATTTAATATTTGTACATTGTAAAATTATTATATACACAATTCTCAATGGGCTTTAAATACACAGTTAAGTAGTTCAGCAGTATTTTAATTCATTATAATTCCAGGTGTTTTGTCTTTTCTTCGTCTTGATCCAGCCATTTTATTTTACACGTGTTTGTAGCATATTGGCTACATATTAGTCACTATTTAGA